GCCTCCTTCGCCCGCCCCGAACAGAAACCTAAAACAACACCTGGCCAACCCACTCCTCCCGGTGTAACCAACACTGCTGTCCGCTTCCTCGCCCTCGACAAGTGCCTCCCCGGCCGCAAGTTCCTCCAACTTTGCGAAATCCCCACCACCGCCGCCCCTCCTTTCAAACTCCAATACGACCCCGAGTGGCTCGCCATCACCCGTGTCTTCGCCCCATACATCACTGTCGGCGATCGCAACGCCCAGAGCCCACCCGACTTAGGCGAGGCCGCTTACCTTCCCCTCATCCAAACTGAAGAGGTTTGGGTGGATGAACACATTGTTCAACCTGGCAAACTCGACGTTCCGGAGAACTTTGAGCTTACTGCGCCGAATCACGTTTCTTGGCCAGAGGGAGCGGACCCACATAAAGAAGAGCAACCGGACGAATATACGAGTCCGCAGACAGTAGCGTTTTGCAAGTTGGTGGGAGTGCCGAATTTGTGGGATGCTAGTGAAGAGGAGAGGGCGGAGAGGAAGGAACGGGGGGCACCGCCAGAGGACTTTGCAGATTTTGGGGGAAGAGGAGGGCGAGGAGGTGGTGGTAGAGGAAGAGGAAGAGGCGGAAGAGGCGGTAGGGGGTGGGGTGGTAGAGGTGGTGGTGGAAGAGGTAGTAAAGGCAGGGGAAGGGGTTGGTGAAAGGGCGAGTTACGGTTGGGCTCTGTACTGGGGCATGTGCAGATGAACTGGGCCTAGGTTGCCTCGCATGTCCAACAAGCTGGCCCCCAATATATGCTGCGTTTGCTTGCATTCCCCACGACATGTTGAGTATTCTGTTCACTATGATGCAAATAGGCACATTGGTGCGCCTGAGTGGGCTTCCGGCACATAGCCCTGGAGGGACGGGCACTCTCAATAAAGGCCGGGAGGTCACTTGAGGCGATTGAGCGAGCATAGCACCGAGATACCCAAAAGTATATTTCGTTCATAAGCAGCTTGTAGTCCATGGTGTGTTTCCCGTCATATAAAGCGAAGCCTCCACTGACAGCAGTGAGGTACGCAGATCGTTGGGGAGTTTTGTTCTTCCACCTATTTTAGACGTTGTACCCATAGAAGAAAGGGGCTGAACGTATATGCTAAGATGGGTTGGGAGGGAGGAATCACCAAGTAGCTTGTCGTGAATGGTATCGACACGTAAGTATCACCACGGACATGTCAGAAAAGTCATCGGCCTCAATGAGACGATGGGTTTCATTAGAGGCATGATGTGTCTCAAACCAAGATGTGCTGCTGAAATCATCCCACCAGATGTTTCGTTTGTCGCACATATCACCGGAACGCCGTCGCTGAAAGATCGAAATACCCCAACACCTGGCATCAAAAGTGATCATGTTTGCTCTGCGGATGGGTTAGGGCACGCTCCACTTGGGAAATCAGGACAACAGCTTACTGTCCAGCCCCAAGAAGTCGGCTGCCACAAGGAGCTCCAGACAGAGATCAACTGGGATCTCCATGTCTGGAACCACAGTCTTGTCCCGGTTCTTGTACCAGTAGTGGAAATACTCGACGATCTTCTCCATCACGAGACCACTGATCAGGTCCGTTAGCGAGAGGACCTCACCGCGGAAAGCGCAACAAGGTTGGGCGATGACGCAAGTCAGATCAAGTGTAGATGGCCCTCAGTCAGTCCTCTGCTTCCCGATGGAAACATGGTCTGTCGGAACCTCACAACGAGGGGTATCGTGATCATCATTCCGGTGGTCCGGCCAAGGACGGAGACAAAGGAGATGTGAGGGAGAGGTCAAACATACTGGATTTCTGGGAAGACGCAGCGGCCTGTTTGTCCCTCTCGCATCGGACTGAGCAGCATGCTCTTGATGGCGGGGCTGATCAAGGTGGCCTCGCGGAGGACGACGAACTCGTAGTTATCGCTGGATACCAGAGTGACGTACTTGCTATTGCCAGCGTCGGTGTTTGTTGCCATCTTTCCTGGCAAAGACCTAGATCAAATTCTGTTGGCCGTGGGGAGTTTAGTTGATGGGAGAGGTCCTGATCGGTTCCTAGCCAGAGGAGAGCTCGCTCAGGTCATTTCAGCCAGGCGGTTGCTAGTGGTTTCGCGTAGAATCGCCTCGGCAAGAAATTCTCCGACGTGGTTTGGGAAGGAAGCTGAAGGTTCAGACGAAAAATCATTCTTTTTAAGCTCCAATGCGGGCAGGCGCACGAGCCACCTTGATGGGGCTCTTTGAGACAGTGAAAGCTGAGAAGCATGCCAGCAGTTTCCAAGCTGCTGCCAATGCTCGTCTGTAAGATTTGAAAGCCACTCCTCCCAAATTGATAGGAACACGACTAGTAGCTGCCGTAGGTACGGTATGGTAAATGCATTATACAGCGGCAGCATTGGCTGATTTTTCATTCTAGTTTGGTTCTGGTAAACGGTGCTCCGCACCTCAGCTGCTGTCTGAACACAGTGCGTCACTGGGCGGGTCCGGGTGGGGCATCTTTATTTGGGCGCTCCGTGCCATGTGCCATGGAAGGAATGGTTGCCCAGCCAACTGTTTACATTGCTTCCGAGCGCACCTGCCCTGTCCCGCACGACAAGCGGCCTCGAGGTTGCTGGGCCGTAAAACATCGGTTTTCTCAGTTCGCTGCGTGCCGTCTGCCATCACAAGTCTTGCTCGAGGTCAGACATTCTCCATCCACAAAATCGGGCGGGACCTGGACTAAAATTCGCAGCGCAGCTTCGCGTACCTTGCGCTCTTGACCGCAGTGGCTTTTATTTCTCCACTAAACGAACTCAAAAACATGGCCTCCTACCAGTATCGCAACTCGTACTACAATTCGCAACCAGCACAGGAGAAGTATGATAACGGCATACAGCGACGACCGACGGCTGACCGACGAGATACCCGCGGCGCACGGTCGAGCGATGGGACAGTGAGCACGATGATGAGCAGTTCGACTGGCAGAGAATCATCCGCAACGGCCATGACCGAGGGCCCAGCCTACTCCAAGAAGATCGTCGTTGTCGGCGACGGCGGCTGCGGCAAGACCTGCTTGCTCATCAGCTACAGCCAAGGCTATTTCCCAGAGGTGCGCACTCCCGTTCCTCCACACCGCCGCAGTCGTGCGCAATCACAGACCGCTAATGCAATACGCAGAAATACGTCCCGACAGTTTTCGAGAACTACATCACCTACCCCACGCATCCCCCAACCGGTAAGACAGTGGAACTTGCGCTGTGGGATACTGCCGGTCAGGAAGAATACGATCGGTTGCGTCCGCTGTCATACCCCGAAACCGACCTGATCTTCGTCTGCTTCGCCATCGACTGCCCAAATTCCCTCGAGAATGTCATGGACAAGGTCAGTCAGCTCCACCCATTGGGATACATTAGGCATGTGTTAACAGTAGACAGTGGTACCCCGAAGTCCTGCATTTCTGCCCGTACACTCCGCTCATCCTCGTCGGCCTCAAGTCGGATCTGCGATACAAGAAGACATGCATCGACATGCTCAAGACCCAGGGTCTCACGCCAGTAACCACCGAACAAGGTCTTGCAGTCGCACAAAAGATGGGTGCCCAGTACATGGAGTGTAGCAGCAAAGAGATGACCGGCGTCGAGGAGATCTTCGAGCGGGCCATCCTCACCGTCGTCGCCAACGATAGGAAAACGCTCGAGCAACAAGCGTCACACGGCGGGGGGGTTGGCATTACCTTTGGCAGCGGCGGCGCACCTATCCCGGGTGTCGGCGCTGTCAAGAAGAAGAAGAAGAGAAAGTGCATCGTTGTGTAGGGGGACGGTGGCTAAAACGATGAACGATCTGTCGTTGGCGTTTTCAGCGAAGCGAGCATGAAATCGGCGAGATGGGAAGGTAATGACTTGACTACTACACGATTTTGATACGACCTGATTTTCTCATCATCATGACTCGAGAGAGGGCGTACGGACGAAGTGGCGACTTGTGGAGTATTGTGCTGGAAGGGGTTGCGGGTTGCAGGTTGGCTACGATACGGTTGTATTTGTTGGAGTATACTCTCTTCGTGAACACTGATATAGGGTTTAGAAGGGATGATACCCCGAGGAGGCATGGTTGCGGTTACTTGGATCTCCGTTCGGCGACTCTCGACCAAGTGGCGCGGGGGTCGGAGACGGGAGCAAGGTCATGATTGCTGATCTGGCGCCGCATTGTATCATCAGCCTTTTCTCGAGTATACGGACTTTTCTTTTGTAACATGGTTTTGCTCCGCTAGGGACAATGAACAGGGACATAAAACAGCTCTCAACGATCGAATTACAACCTGAGTGAAATTATGCGTGACATTGCTTATTACACCGAGTACTTTCTCTGGGGTATCTTTGTTGGCTCAACTCTGGAGGGTCAGACTTTGGCCTCATATCTCATCACACCTCGGTGCATGTCTCATGCTTCAGACGCTCCCTCAGTCTGATCGCCAACTGACGTCTCTCCCTCCGCCTCAGACTTGTCACTGACCTCCTCAGGCTCTTTACCCATGACGTTCTCAAACTGCGACCATAACGCCTCAACGGACGAGAACTCATTGCCCACCTACAAGCTTAGTTAGCCCCTCCTTGGCGTTGCAAGCGCAACCTAAAACAGAAAGAAGGGAAAGTACCGTAATGACAGCCTCTAGCGACCGGTTCAATTTGTTGATATTCGCAAGGACATGCTCGAAGCTCTGTGTGACGAACTAGTCAAATCGGAAATTCAACAGTGTGGAGCAGGAGGTGGCATACCATGGCAATCTCAGCCATCAACTCTTCGCGCTGCTGTTCAAAGTACGACTTTTCCCTCGTCCCCGCGGCCGAAGTCGACCTCTGTTGTGAAGCCATGGCTATCAAGGTGTGCGGTGATAGTGAGGGGCAACAGCGACGCGACGCGGTCAACAAATGGCTAGCGAGGGGTAAAAGTCCAATGGCGATGAGGGTTAGGGTTGGATTCAAAAAAAATTAGGCACAGTGTGCAATCATCAGGGGAAACTGCAACTCTTTTGAATGTCAAGGTCCGCTGGCTCAATGGCAGAGCGTCTGACTACGATATTTGATCATATCTGATTGAATAGTTATCAGGAGGTTCCAGGTTCGACCCCTGGGTGGATCGAGATATATCTTTTTGCCGTTACCATCATGCCTGTGTCAGTTTTTTTAGTTTTTTTTTTGCTCCGCTGGTGTGCTGCCAGGAATCCTGGGTTAGTTGGGGTTGGACTCTCCTAACCCTAACCCCTCATCCCTTTCTCCGCACTCCACCTGCAACCGCTGGGCGGCAAGGGTGCTACCGCCAAGTGGGGCTGCAACCTCCCCCTCGACACCAGCGCCGTACCCTCCCGCCAACTCACACGACACCTATTCACGACGAACAATGCCTTGATGGCCTTACCTACGCTCCAATTTTCACACATTCACAATGGATGACCTATCCTCTCTTCAATGGAGCGCCCCGGCCTCAAAACCCTCCGCCCCAGCTCCCGCGACAACAAGCTCCTTCCCTGCCCTGCGCCCAACGCCCTCTCCGTTTGCCTCCGGTCGCAACACTCCCCTGGGTGGCACATCCACCCCGGGCGGCTTCAAACCCCCCGCGACATCAACCTCAACCTCCAAACCCGCGGCAGACACCACTTCCAGCTTCAGCAACCTTGTCAACTTCGGCACCGCTAAATCCACCGCAAACCTCACCTTGCGTGAGCGCGCTGACTTGTTAGAAGCCGAGAAGAGGAAAAAGGAAGAAGAACGGCGCAAACAGGCGCAGGCAAGCTTTGGAGATGGACGGTTTTTGGATTCGCTAGGGAGTGGCAATGGGACGCCTAGGACGGCGAGTCCGGGGGTGGGGAGAACGCCCCCGCCTCAGCAGCCTGCTGCAGGCTCGGGCGGCCTGGGGGGTGGGAAGCGGAAGGATGATGATGAGGATCTGTTTGCGGCGTTTAGTGCGAGTACAAAGGTGGATAATGCGAGTCACTTTCCGCCGCCGGCGGAGGTGAGGAAGGCCTCGCCGGCGGGTGCGGCGCCGGGGTTGAATCTGAGTAACCCGCAAGCGTGGAATGTGCCGCCAGGAGGAGGGCCTGGTGGGGTGTTGATCGGGGATAATGATGACGATCCGTTTGGGTTGAGTCAGTTCAAGGGGAAGGCGAGCGCATCTGCGCCTGCGCCGCCACCGGAGGAGGAAGATGATGATTTGTTGGGAGATTTGGGGAGGCCGGTGGAGGAGGTAAGAAAAAGGCAACTCCCACCACAGCCGAAAGCACAAGCGCCATCGTTTTCGAGGGCGCCGGAGCCGGGGAAGGCGATAGAGGACTCGTCGGATGATTCGGACACGGAAGAACGGCCGCCGTCGGATGACCCGTTTGATAAGGCTGTGGCGCAGCTGGTAGATTATGGGTTCACGCCAGAGAACGCGAGAAGGGGCCTGACGGAGAGCGGTGCTGGGCTGAATGTCCAAGCGGCGGTAAACTGGCTGTTGGATGATGCGCATAGGCAGGCGAAGGAGAAGGCAAAGGGTGGCAAGGGCCCAAGTGAGCCGATCGGCAGCCGCGCCCCGGAGCGTGCGCCCAGCCAGTCGAGAAATGGGGCTCCTTCGTGGATGAGAGAGGCCGAAGGCGCGAGGAGTAAGGATAATCGGTCACCTGCGTCCTCGGATGGCGACTTCACGAAAACTGCTGCCGCAGTAGGAACGAGCTTGCTCAAGACAGCCAACAGCTTCTGGAAGCAGGGGCAGAAGAAGGTCCAGAAGGCTGTCCAGGAGTTCCAGCAGGAGGGTGGTGACCCTAACCAGCCGAAGTGGATGCGGTCAGCTCAACAGGACTTCACGGAAAATGAGAAGAGACGTCCTGATGTAACTGATGAGGCTGCGATGCTTGAATCAGGTATGCGGCCAGGACGGAGGCCAGGGGTTGGAGGGTCAGATACCCGATCATCCAGCAATGCGACTTCTCGAGACCAATCGCCAGCTTTCCCAACAAGAACCGGGCAAGGAAGTTCCGCTCCAAAGTGGCAGCAGGCTAGCCACTCTTCTGAGCTCAACCCTCGCTCCAGGCTCAGCAAGCAGGCTGTGGAAGAGCAAAGCGCGCAGGCCTATGTTAGTCCAGCGCGGAGGAAGAAGACAACACCGCAGCCACCACCGGAAGCGGAGCCTGACTTGCTATTTGGTCCTTCCGAGCTCTCGAGGCCCCAACCCCAGGCTTCGCTTCCCTCCAGGTCCGCACAACCATCCCCCGCACCAAGACCAACGCCCCGGGCATCGCCGGCCCCTCGCCCAGCACCAACTCCCCGTCCGCAACGGTCGATCCCTAGTGTCTCAGCGATCGCCCTACAAAGTTCTACCAAACACCGTCTTGATGGGACGGCACATTTCAAGCGTGGTGATTACGCCGCGGCTCATGCCTCCTACACTTCCTCCCTCACATCCATCCCACCAAGCCACCCTCTCACCATCTTGCTGCTCTGCAACCGGGCTCTGACGGCGCTCAAAACCGGTGAGCCCCGCCAAGCAGTAGAAGATGCCGACAGGGCGCTCGAGATTATTGGTCCAACCAAGGGAGAGGGCGAACACGTGGACCTCCATGGTGGTGACAACGAGAAGCGAGACATGCGCGAGCTCTACGGCAAGGCCCTGACCCGCAAAGCTGAGGCCCTCGAGCAAATGGAGAAGTGGTCCGATGCCGTGACGGTTTGGCAGCTGGCCATCGAGTCTGGCCACGGAGGTGCCACAGCGACCGCGGGCCGCCAACGCTGCCAGAAGGCACTGGCCCCTAAACCTGCTGCTCGGCCTCCGCCTGCGCGTGCCGCCCCCCCAAGACGCCCTGCACCCGCGGCAAGCCAGAAGAGCTCGGAAGCGGTGCAGAGGTTACGTGAAGCGAATAAGGCCGCGGAGAAGGAGGGCAATGAGAAAATTGAGCTGATCGACAAGGTGGACGCCCGTGTTGCCGCGTGGCGGGACGGGAAGAGGGACAATCTGCGGGCTCTGCTAGGCAGCATGGAGAATGTCCTATGGGAAGGGAGCGGCTGGAAGAAGGTTGGCCTGCATGAACTGGTCATGACGAATAAGGTCAAGATCATCTACATGAAGGCCATTGCGAAGACGCACCCTGATAAGGTAGGTCCCTTATGTCTTGAAAAACGCATGTGTACTAACATGGTGTAGCTGCCGCAAGACGCTTCGACCGAGGTGAGGATGATTGCCGGAAATGTTTTCAGCACGCTGAATGAAGCATGGGACAGGTTCAAGGCGGAAAATGGGCTCTAAAGTGGTTAGAGTGGTGGGCAGGTAGATCAGAAAGAGGTGTCCTTGTTAGATAGAGCATATCTAGGTTCTATCGCGCTCATCTTGTCCGTCAACACCGTCGCCATGCATTCAATAACCATACCGTCATGCTCTCTCCCGTAAATACCTATGTATTTAACCCTCACAGTCCCAGCATCCTCCTCACCCCATCCCGCACCCTCTGCTCATACTCCCCCCTCCTCTCCCTCCACATCTTCGCGGCCTCCACGTTCGCCGGACTCTCGTCATTCGGCTCCGCCAACATGCTCATCACACTGATCAGGATCTTCTCCACCGACTGTATCGGCGACCACCGCTCAGACGCATGCTCGTAGTGATTCGGGTCATCTCCAGGCGGATGCAAAATCGAGATGCACACCAACCCATTCGGATAAACTATTGCTCTAATCAGCCGCATCCTTAACTACAATCTAAGAACAAACTTACCATTAGGGTGAAAAACCTCGCCCAAGAACTTCATCGTGGGCGGCGCAAGCGGATAGTCACGCGGGAACTTGAGCTCCGCGGGGAACACGCCACCCTCGAAGGGCGTCCCTTCGGGGCCTTGGATGAGCGCTTCCCAGTGCAGGAGGTCATCTTCGGTTATGGGGCCAGCGGTGATGCCTTCGGGAGGGTTGTTGGTGAGGGCGCGGTATTCTTGGAGGAGGCGCCGGTGTGCGGTTGATTGGGCCATTTTGCGGACCGTGGGGTTGAGTTTGGGCTGAGCTGAGCCGGGGATGATTTGGATTGATGAGGGTGTGTGGTTATAGAGACGGTGGTCTGGATCGTATTTTCCGAAGGTCGGCTGGTGGGAGCCCGCGGTGAAAGTGGTAAAGGGGTTGATGACAGCTTTCGATGTCGGCCGCGGTGGTGGGTGTTCTTTGTCCTTCGAGAGCGTGAGCACTGAGCAGGACACCCACTGGATGGAGGGGTCGCGCGGGACCCAAATTACAGGGGCATGGCTTGGCGTTGGGGCGCTGTGTGGGGTGGCCAACCCGAGAATTTGCCAAGAGCTGCTTCCCGGCAGAAAAGCTGTTCTAGGGACCTCCAAGCTTCGCAACTTCGATGGAACACCTGTGATAGCAACTCGCGACGGGGACACCGGTTCCTGCACCACGCTCGCTCCCAGTCATGCCGCCAATATCGGGGTTGAGGCAGGTTCTCGGCCGCAGCGGCGCGCTCCGCCAGAGCAGATCATCCGTTTGTCTGTTCTGCTCTTTCACGAAACGCGCGGGGCCATCATCGCTGGTGCCACGGAGGAAAGTGTTTGGGGGGAGCTTGCGACGGGAGTCAACCGATTCAGCCTCGACAATGACGACTACGACTTCGGACCCCCGCCGAGATCTTCAGGACGCGTTACTAGACCTGCAAGCTCAGACACCGAACCATGTCGACCTCTGGCGCGTGCAGCTCGCGCTGCGAAACTTGGGGCAACCGCCAGGCCACGAATCGATACGAGTCGCGTTCCTAGGGTTGAAGAACGGCTCCAATTCAGGACCGACGGCGAAGAAGCTCCTGAAATTGGCGCTGGTCGACCCGTTGAATCCCCCGGCGAGTTGGGAGACACGGCTGGAGGATCATGATCTGTCGCAGCCGCTCATAGTTCGGGTCGGCGCAATTGAAGGGCAGGATGAACAGATTGAGGAGAAATTATCGGTGGCGAAAGGCCACGCCATCCCGGAGCTCAAGGTCTCGTCTCCACCACTGAACGCGGGGAATTTGGAGCTGCTGCTCATGGAGGCCGGCGAGCTTGCTGCGGCGGAAAACACAGGCGATGCATTGGCCGTGGATGATGCGATCCTTGCACCGACGGTGGAGATATCTGTGCCGCCGAAAGGAACGCTTAC